TTGTGGGTAGTGCCGAGAATGAAACCATTCTCACTGCGCACCAGGCCTTGTTGACTCAGAGCCCTTTTTTCGCCGATGCTTGTGCCGCCTTCGCCCACGACGGGAGCGTGAGTTGCGCCCCTTCTCACCATCCACACCTTTTCGCAGCACTAATGTTAGTCCCTCTAGCCGCGACAGGTCGAGCTCGTAGGTGACGACATCGATGCCGTTGGTTGTTTTCTCGAGTACCTGTACACGGGCGATTACTTCCCCAAGAAACTGCCAGGTCAGCGCCTGCTCGAGCCAGATCCCTCCATGCCGGCCGTCGACGAGACTGGCGATCAGCTTCTAAAGCATGCGCGCGTCTATACGATAGCCGAGAAGTTTGGTATGGACAAACTCAAGAGCTTGTCAAGCAGCAAGATTCATTGTGTCAACTCAACCGCCAAGGGCGAGATCACCTATGCTCGATACATCTACCAGTACACGAACAAAGACGACACCACTGTGCGCGCGCCAGTCGCCAACTTCTGGGCTACCCGCAGCCACACCCTCCGTGCCGAGGCCGAAGAGGAGTTCCGTTCACTTTGCTTGGAGTTCCCTCAATTTGGTTATGACGTGCTTAGTAAGTTCCTTGCCACGAATGCGGCCCTGGTCGTTGTAATATGCCGAAATGTAGCGATACTGACCGCTTTCCCAGCTCGTGTTCTCGACGAAAAGCTCAAGCGCGAAAGGAACGAGAAGATGACGCCTGGTAGTGCACTCGGGCGGAAACGGGCTCGACACAGCAACGTATAACAATATTACATCATGTAGTTATCCTGCCCTCTCAGCCTAAGGGGTTTTGGATTAGGCGAGGACCAGCGATGGCTTGTATCCCGATTACTGTTTAATTATTAGTAGCTGATACTGCGTTAGTGAGCGTTCTTGTACCGTTTCATTTTACCCTGCTTGGTCTGAGAGAATAAAAGAGACTCTCATACGATTGAGCGGTACATATTTCCAAGGTTTGCTTGCAACGGGGAACACCGCTTGCTACGTGGATATTGGGTAAGGACGGCGGGATAACGGTATGGGCTGGGAACTGTAACAATAGGCGATCGGGGATCGCCACCTTCATATGGAACTCCAGGCCTTTCGGCTTGGGAGCCTAACACCGTGTACTCAGTATTCATGTTGCTGCAAATAAAATGATCCAAACAGTTTCCCGATTACTCAGCTTCTTCATCACTTTAAGTCGCTTTAATTCTTCTGGTCGGTGCTTTGCTCCTTGGCTCTCTATCCAGCCGATAGAGATATTGACGAGGTGAGGCTTTGACGGAAAAATGACACAAACCTTACTACTCTCTATCTGCCTCAGCCCACTGCTTCCACAACTATCATCTTGTCAATAGTGCGTGCTCACCCCTAAATACATCCAAACTTGGCGTTGTATAGTCTCTCGGTATTGAACAGCTCCGTTATGTGCTTAGTCTCTTCCTTGGGCATTTTTGCTGATAGCGCAAGGGGTGTGATTCGAACAGGTTCGCACGAATCTCTATCCCGCCTCCATCTGTGCAATCGCAAGAGTTCGTGAGCATCGTTATTAATGAGTTGTGTACAATATACTCAGGGGTACCAGGGAGTCGAACGCAAGAGGCAAACATCCTTACTCTTCATATCCCTGATGTACTGAACGAACTCGTGAAATGGCGTACCTTCCTTATGCTCTGGTCTATCGGTACCTGAGATCTTGGAGCTCGGGTACTCGAGCTCCGAGTTCGGCTATGGCGGTGTTTTCACGCCTGCGGCGCTGAGCTCTGTCGTCCCGGCGTGTCGATCATTTGGTGTTCCTGTGCCAAGCGGATAGAATTGGCCTTGGTAGTCTTTCTCGTTCCTTGACTGATTCTTCTGCATTACGGAGAGAGTTATCGATTGCACTGGTCTATGATAGCAGTCGCCAGCAGCGCCGTGAGTATTGCCTCTGCAACTCGACTTTATTATCCTCAATATTACCGTCTCGACAAAGAGCAACGTTGCGCGAAGGAAGATGCAGTATGCCTTATTCCAGGAGATGGAGTTCATGATACACGACGTTCGGATTCACCTGCACCGGTTGGTCCTTCGTGGAGAGTAGCTGCACTTTGCATTTTGTTGTGACCTATGAATTCTCGCAGTAAATATGCGACTGATCTTGGCGGCTCGGGAACATATAGAGCCACGTGCAAGCAGTCACTCTGTAAGAAAGAGAGGTATAAGAGAGGAAGGGATGTGTGCCGATAAGGAACCGTGACCGCTACCTGTGTGCTTATTGTAGGTAAGAAACTGCGCGGCTATTGGTTTATGGTACGAGGAATACGTAAACCTAGAGCACATACCCTTGATACATCTCCCAGCCAAATCTAGTCCACCTCTTTGGTATATTACATCTCGATTTCCTCATCGCTAGGTAGTCGCCTGGCAGCCCTCTACCACAACAAGGTACCCTCCTATCAACGTCCTCACCATCGCAAAGGCTAATGTCCAGATCGGATCCAGGCCAGCACTTATTCTCAAAGAGCTGCAGCACGGAACTGCCCAATATCAGTGCATCAGCACGACCCAGTTTGATTTAACAGGGTCTCGGATTCTCAAAGAAACGCACCAATTTCTCGTTAATGTCCCAGAGGTAGTTATAGATGTTTGCGTGCAGACCCAATGAAGTTTTACAGTGATTGAGAATGCTCCCCTTTGTATAGGGTATTCAAAGGTTGGTCGTGAAGACCCGAAGCATTGATGCTTACTGTATTCATCCTAAATAACATCCTTCACTTCGTGGGAGAGTAAACAAACTTTGATGCAACCAGTCAAATAGACATTGGTATAGGGGCAAACTCCGGTCGTCGTGAATGCTTGTTTGAGCCCAGTGTTTTGTCAGGGACGCGATGCTGAAAATGACACAACAAACATGCACGTATAACTGGTCTAGCCGTTTCGTCTGTTTGCTTTTGCGATCGTGTGATGAAGCTTGTGTGCCGCTCCCTGCCCGGGCGGACATTCTTGCCCTTCGTGTAACTTTAAATCAGGCCTGAATACTATTAGCAATAAAGGTACGTGCTTTTCCATCTTAACATCCAAGTGCCTAGATACCATATATAAACCACGCGAACTCCATCTTGCCATACCGCACTTTGCTCGCAGAACTCGGAGATGCCATCGCATTGCCGCGTTACCAACTTCAACACTATACGTCTGTCATTATTTCTCAACGTAGCTTTTAAAGATCTCGTTTTGTTCAGGTATGTTTGAGCGCCAGTCACATGAGTGAGTTCCTTAGCCCATGGCGAAGGTCGCACTTGCACTCCCCAAATCTGCTAACTCACAAAGTCATATAGTAGCATAATCTATCCGACGTAGCGGCCACGAGTGACTGTATATAAACAGCACGTATGATACTTCTAGGCTCCTTTCTACATTAACGGTACGACTTCCTCGCGAGCATTTCATATACGTAACCGCCCAACCACATGAACTCTATATAGTATACCGAATATATCAATCACTACGTGAGAGATTACGAAGGCCATACTAGAGAGAAACTATGACCCAGCACAATGTCTTCCTACAGCCAAGGGTTACTAATATCGAACATAGTGTTAAGGCCAAAACTACGAGTATGATCAATGAGATGGACGGGTGTAGTGAATACTCTGCGACTTCACCGGGCTCTGGAAGTATCAACTATTCCACGCCACAGTCTAGTGGTCCCTCTACACCAGAGTCTCTCACGAGAACAAAAGCCATATATACAGGGCAATTCGGAAATACAATCCGAACCCATCTTAGTCCTCGAGCCCCAAATCAAATACCTAGTCCCCAAATACGTCAACTTCAGACTAGAGGACAGATTCGACCGCATGTCCAGCTACCGCGAGGCCCACCTTTCGTTCAAGGACAGCCAGTTGCCAATCGTCCATTAGAAAGGAATCCTTTACATTTGCACCACCAAACTAGGGTTCCGCCTGGATTTCATTTGCACCCTCAGCAGCAAACTAGGGCTCCGCCGTCAAATTTTCACCAGCAGCAGCATACCAGGACTGGATCACAACACAATGTTTCCCCAGTACAGACTCCAAAGTCAGCCGACGCGCATCCCCGATTGCACTCAGACAACAAGGTGAAACGACACAGGGATCCCAGCAGCTACAGCGACTATCAACAACGGACGCGAGCACAGCCCGGGGAACAGGCTCAACGTGAAAAATTGGGCGCCCGTTTCAGAGAACGCCAAGCGGAAGCTCGAAACCGTGCCAATCGAGCCCGCGCCGAGAAAGAATTCGAGGTCGCTAAGAGTTTTGAGGACGATGACATATTCATTCCCAAGATCAAATATTAATCCACAGCGGCCTCCCTCGGTGAATGAATACCGAGCATCACTCTCTCTTTTCTCTCTTTCTTCATTCGACTTTGCTTCTCTTTTCTCTACTTCCCCTGAAGACGGCCATCTATCTGGATTGGACGTGCGTATTCCGGAAGTGGGCGCAAGACAAACTCATTCTACACTGCATATCGGAGTTCTTGGATTTCATATCGGGCCTCTAAGCTCAACGGAAGCGACGTCTACTCATCTGAACCGGTCTTTTGCGGCTTAGATTACAGATATGCTGTCATTGAATAACTTCATCAGGAGTAATGGTCAAAGCGTGGATAGACCAATATGCATTTTCACTATAACTCGTCAACCCCTCAGGCTAGGAGGCAATTATGTAATGTAGAATGGTTATATCAGCTGCTCTTACATAGCATCCTAATTTGAAGCGTGTTTCAGTCGCGGAAGGCGACGCCAGTATTTCCTAGCATTTTCTGAAGACACTCGTTTTGCTAAGATTATGATCGTAGTAATTTATAGTGCAGCTATAGCTTCGTGAGGAATTTGAGCCCTCTTTGACTTGATGCAATAGTCCATCCAAACCAACAACGTTGGATTGTGCAGCTCCACGATTATAGTTCAATAAAAGAGCTCGAACAAACAAGTAAAATCGGTAACAGCCGATATTCGCTAGGCCCGGCTGGCGTAATGGTTAACGCGTAAGACTTCTACAGTTGTGTTAATTCTTAACGAATTGCACGCGCAGGAGCGATCTTAAGATTGCGAGTTCGAGTCTCGCGTCGGGTTACAAAGTTTTTTGATACCTCTCGCATTGTCTATTCTCTGCGGTTTTTTGTTAAAATTAGAACGTTAAGTACAGTTCTTACCATGTTACTTGTGGGACCAATAACTCACTCAAGAAATTACGACTCCCAACAACACGAAACAGCATTTATCTGTTTGTTGTCAGGGATCAGCCAAGGCACCACACGACCTGAACTTCACAGTGTCTACGGCGATGATGAGAGGGATTGTCTGGCCTAATTCCCGACAGGTTTGCAGCAATTTAGATCTAAATGTAGTTACATACAATCACAACATGATAGCAACCGTAGGAAAGTTTATTATGATTTTCTTCTCATGAACATTTGTATGGGATCAATGAATATGTACGTAGCCACCCGAACGCCCTGCTCGACATTATGCTTTGCTATGCATCCTTGCATCCAAGCGGCAAAAACTATTGAAATCGTTATGAAAAGAACACTGACTTCCCCTCCATCAACTTGATTTAACACTCAACAACTCTATGAGCGCTTATTGAGTAGGGTAGTATGGCTGGCCTGGAGCTGGTGTGCCTTGAGGACTAGGAAGCTCTTGAGTGTGATGATGTACCGTCTGATTCTGAACTTGGTGAGGTACCTGATGGGGTACGGCTTGATTGTATACACCCTGGGCGCCGGCGTATCCTGTGTTCTGAGCCGAATAGGGCGAGGGTGTATAGGGGTCATAGGGAGGACTCTGGGCAGGATAACTAGGCTGATGTTGCTGCTGTTGAGCCCACTGAGGTTGCTGCTGGCTGCCAAGGGGTTGATGCTGGCTGGTGGGAGCAGCAACGCCGGAGGCCTTCTCGACGTCGCTACTGTGCTTGGCCCATTCAAGGCGGAAGAAGTGGGTAACGTAAGCAAACGTAGCAACGAAGAGCAGCAAGTTGATGGCACTAATGCCAGCGACAGCTGAGATCACTGCGCGACCAGTTGGGCCTGCAACGGCGACGTCACGCTTGGAGATCACACAATGGCCAGCGTTAATGGTGCTCCCATCGTCATAGCAATCAGCATCTACTGGAACGACGAAGCTGGCGCGGTACGCAGCGTTGGCACCCAAGCTCGCTATCCAAAGAACCATCATAAAGAAATCCAACGAGAGTACCGCCCATGTGTTGTATCCGGAGCGGCAGCCTGCCGAGTGTTCTGTGAGGATCGCATACAGTGCAACGATCCACGTGAAAACGCCCTGTTTAAATATATGGTCAGCTAATGCACAAGAGCTACTCTCTATCCTTCCCTGAAGAGGTCCAACATGTGAAGAGAGGCTTCACCTACCGAAGCAATCGCAATGCCCTGTGGATCAGCGTAGAAGCCGTGGATTAGAAAGCCAGATAAAGCGACGATAATGAGTGCAACGACGATCTGTGCAATCCGCAGCCCGATGAACCATCTCGGCGTCGGGATGAGTGTTTTGCCGTGCCTGACTGACTCCATTGTATGTTCGTTCACCGAGCCCAGACTACGATGGTGTTGTTCTATTATCGTTCTGCCTCTTCGTTATTTGGCGAAAGCTGAGTATCTTCTCTTGTAGGTGTGGGCACTTGGGAATTCCCCTTCACAACCGACACCGCGGGCTCGGGACCTCAGTCTATTTGTACGAAAAGCCATGGCACTTCCTTTGACCCCTTCCACTATCCCATCCAGCCGCATGCCAACCCAGTTCCGCCCTCTCGAAGACCCGCTTCGCGAGGGTCAGGGTCCAGGCGTGGAGGGCGTAAAAGACATGTCGAAAACCTCCTAGCCAGCTGATCAACTAGCGCCTCAGCCGCACTCCGATTTGGTGAATCAATCGGTGAGCTACGCTTGGCTTGTGGCCGCTAGCTGGCGTTGTCAATCTTCCCTAATAGTCTCATACCCGTTTCAGCAGTTACTCAGCTCTTGTAGCCATTCATGTCAGTGCACGAAGCGAGAAAGACCCAACGGCCCAACGGCATGCGTGAAGAGGCGTCTTGGCAGGGCAGATTTACCAGGCCGAGAAGCCTTGATCACTTTTCGCTTTGCATTTGTCTCAACTGCCCCCCCTCGCGATATCGAAGAGACCCGACCTTCAAACTGTCTTGATTTGAACGCCTCGTGGACTGCCACTTGATTAAATTGTACTCACATACTGATCAGTACAAGACGTGGCTTTGGTTAAGAAGCCTAGACTAACGGCTGGTTGTTGGGCTTTTCGTTGTAGGTAAGTAAATAAGTTATGAGGAACTTTGAAGATAAGCACGGATGAACTTTATGGTAGCTGATTCTGACTGATGTCTGGAACATTAAAAGGCTCCCTTTCCCCTCCCCCCCTCGCCACCAAAATCGGTTGAAGAATAAACTGTGGAGGTCTCCGCCGAAATGTCAAGCAATACCTATCGCTACTGTAGAGCGGTACTCTTGCCATTGCATTCGACCATGCCACTTGGATTTCAAGAATTGACATGTCATCAAACGCTCCAAAAGTCTAGTGGAACTAAGGCGCAGCTAGCACAGCCAGCTATGTGTATGCACGGGTCCACCTTGGGGCGGCAGGCAAATACACTGATCAGAATACTAGAGAAAGAAAACATATGATACTAATACGCATAAGCCGCCGGTGTGACACGGATCTTCTATTATTATTATTATTCTGGGTCACACACTAAATCTGCATTCGGGACCAGTTCACCTTTCCCTTGACTTACAGTAGATTGAGTGAGACCTTATATCGATTGACGTACCGTCTTAGCCCAACAGCTGGCGCTTTTGGTTCATTTTCTTGGCGCGGGGTCAACGCCCTGTTCGGAGTCTAGATGCGTGGGATATGTTGACTCCCGACATCGCGGATCACGTTTGTATAGATATATTTTTAGGTAGGTAGTTGTGTGTCCACTGTCTGTCCAGAATTGTTGGCCTACTAAATACCATCACAACTTTGGTAAGCAGATTGGACTGTCGGGATAAAAAGTAAGAACAATTCAAACGCTATTTCTTGTCGCAATTACTCATAGTCTCATGTGTGCCACTTAGGCAATATGAGAAGGTAGTCTTCTACATCCTATCACTGTTTTGGGAGGGCGGTGAGTTTACAGGAAACAGAATGACCAGTGACCAGGTACCAATGAGAGAACAAAAACCGACGCTAATGTTTTGAAGATGCATGGACAGTTGCACTACCCATCTACACAAGAACTTGCAGATAAACAAGATGGTAAACTGACAGAAACGTAGGCACTCTGGTTACAAAAATATAAAAATATAAACACAGCGCGTACAGCCAGATACCAGTTATAGACTCTAGGACTTCCGCTGCCGAAGGCATTTCTAGCACTATTAATAGCATCCCACTTCGGGCACTAATGTACCCAGGGTCTAACTAATGAGAGTTGACATTGAGGCGTTCTTGATTTGCTTGGTACCCTTGCTTGTCGCCTTTTAAGAGAATGATGTAATAACTAAATTAAACAGTCGTTGTGCGCCTATAATCATCTCTAAATGAGTTATCAATTCGGCTGTCTTTGACAGCGTTGATGAGGCTCTGATCTCGCTAAACAAAGCGGCGGATAACACGTAAGCGCTGCTGACTTGTCTTAGCGGCGTTACATTCGCAGGAAATTCTCACTTGTCATTCACTCGCATCTGAGGAATCACCGGTGCACTGCCTGAGAACTGCCCACAGCCTGCAGATGGGCAGATTAGAGGGCAAACTACTTGAGGCTATTGAAAATACAAATAAAGTCCTGATTGTCTTAATAACATACCCAGGAAGAGATCGCTCTTGTGTCTCACCTTCCCAGTAGCGACCTACATATCGACATCCAGAATGGTAGCTCAGGGAGGCCGAGACTCCTGGTGGCGAGCTGACCTTAAAAACAAGCAATATGATGTCTTTGGCGATGCATACGATGATACCATTTACAGAAAGCTTGAGAAGGCGTGGACTAAAGACATGTACGTAAAACGGCGCCGATCGAACTTTACCCGCTGACAGGAATAAATGCGACCAGAACCACGTCGCCATATTTGGATTGGGTCAAAAATTTGTCGGAGTCCGGATGGATCCATTTGAGACCTCTCGCCGATTTTATGTTCGTTGGCGCAACCCCTCAGCTCTGGGGAGATTTGGATCCGAATCAAGGTCCTGGTAAAGATAAAGAAGTGACAAGCGTTGATGAAATCACACGAAGGACAAGAGAACGTGAGAGGCGCTTCGCAAAAACGAATGTTTGTAGGCTGGATTATTATCCCAATGAAGTCAAAAAGGAGTCCTTTGCTTCTGCTCAAGATCTTCAAACGGGTTTGGACGAACGCATTGCAGATGAGACTGAGTTCAGGCTCTATGTGATAGAGGATCTCTCAAGAGATGTTATTGAGGCTTTCGGCCAAAAATGTAAGTTCGTTGTCTTTTATTCTCTACCATCCCTTTGAATGGCGCTTCGGCTACGTGACTAGTTGGTCGCGGGACCGAAACGATATTCCATGTCTCAGTTTGACGGTGTCTATAGCCTTGCCGAGATATTCGAAGAGACGGCTAATAACCGTGTACTATAGACAAGATCGAGCCAGACTTTTGGAGGGCTCATATAATGGATTTTGCGTGGTCGAATGTCCGCGATCGGTGGAGAAATCCCCCTTTGCTTGACATTGTCAGCAGGCATCAAAACTGGATGCAATTGAGATATGTTACCGCTCGATATTTCGATGCCAACGATAAAAGCAGCCGAAAGGAGAAATCGAGTTTTACAGAGGCAGCAGAAGAAGCCGCCAAATTCAACATTTTTCGTCGGGTAGACGATGACCTAAGCAACAAATCGTATTGGGACAAAGAGGGAGCAATCGTAGGATTGACGAGATCGAGGGCAACGTTCTGGCTGCAGCCGAGTGGTCCTCAGAAGAGCACTCCAGTGGGTAAGTGGTCACTTCATATCTGACAGGTATTATAAAATCGCTAAGACTTAAGTGTCACAGGTATACTACTATTAGACCCAACTGTGACTAAAGGAGTTCCATTATGGCGTG